TTGAGTTGATTGCTTTATAATCTACACAGAGTCTTATGCTGTTGTCCTTCTTCCTGACAATCACAACAGGCGAAGCGTACGGACTGGTACTTTTGCGAATAATTTCCTGATTTAACAGTTTCGCTATATGTTGTTTCACTTCGGAAATTTGATTGGGTGGAATTCTCCTATGGAATTTTCACAGGTTGGTTATCTGTCAGCGTTATAGGATGAGTTACAGTTGTTGTGTATCCCAAATCTTCATCACTCCTTGCAAACACATCTTCATGTTTAGAAAATAGTTCAAATAGTTTCTATTTTTGTTCAGCGGATAATGGAACATTTCCAAGATCCAGTTTAGACATTAGATCAGAATTATCAGAATTTACAGTGTTGGTTGACACCGAGACACTTCGAATGTTCAGTTCTGTTGGTTCAGTATCAACTGCATATTCTTGGTCAGAACTCTTTAAAATCTCGATCTGGTGTAGTGTACCAATGCGAGTCTTTGGTTGAATCCAAACATCTTCTTCACCAATGTTCAACATCCTTACAGGAATTTTCTCACTTTCCACAACACTAACAGTATCCACCACCAAAATATTTCGAGGCAAAGATCCATTCTCATTGAAAATAGGTTGAACGGCTGCTACATATGGGTTTCTTTTTTTATTTTGTCGTATGGATCCTATGGTTTTCATAGAGTTCGCTGGAATTCTTACTGCTTCTCTTCCTGCCACTTTAACAAGTCCAATCTTCACATCAATTTCATTCTCAGCTAACGCTACAACAGACGTAACATTGTTCCATGTAGGGTCTTTCATAATAACATTAACACAATGACAGGCTGTTCTAATATGTTTCAGTACATTACATCCAAGAATAACACCATTTGGATCTGTTGTCACGGTTTCTGTTAACATTCCAACAACACTGAATAGTTGATCTTGAATCTTCAATTCCACTTCAATGTATCCAAGGTATGGAATTTGGATTTTGTTGGCTGCAGATAATCGTAGAAATTTTCATGTGTCGGTAATATCTTTGTGATGTAAGAACTTTTTATAAAACATTTCAGATATAGTTGAAACTTCTGCTCCGGTATCTAGAAGACATTTTACAGGTTGTCCGTTTAGTTCAATAGTAGTGACTGGACTGTTTCTTGTAGCATTTTTTATTTTCTCGTTCATATCACACGAGTCTTTCCCACTCCCCTCTAACAGGCGACTCTCTACTGTGAGGGTTTTACTTTTGGGTCGGTCAGACGGTTTTCTGAAATTTTGGCCTTGGCTGTTGTTGCAGTCGTCTGTTTTATTTGTTCTGTGAGAGCTCGTTTTTACGATTTGCACATTCTGAGGAAAAATGTCCATGTCCGTTACAGGCATAACAAACAATTTGATCTTGTCTTCTGATTCCTCGGCCACGTCCTCTGCTCGGTCTATTTTCTCTCCGAGGTGAATCAGACTGTAGAAACTTTTGTAATGTTTGTGTAAGCGTATTAATCTGTTGTTGTTGTTTCTCTAACATCTCTTGTTGTTTCTTTACTAGAGTCATTAATTAACTCAGTTCTGTATTTGGAGTAGGTACATATGATGTTTTCTTCACACTGAGATTCACACCAGGGTTGTCTTCTATCCATCGTAACATTCTAAGTCTGAATTCAAAAAATGGTATGTTGCCAGAGTCTAACACAACTTTTCTCAGTTCTTGTCGGGTGTCCTGATCTCTGATTCCATCAACAAATCTCTCACTAAGCTTAACATCAGTCACTTGCTCTTTCTTGTCTTTCTTGTTGATTTTCTGTGCCATCTCAGTTAATACAAGAGAATATTTTTCTAATGTTTCATCCTGTTTTTGGTCTCGTTGATAAAATTTCTGGAGAAGTTGGGTAGTGGTTTCTTTGATTTCAAACACAGCCTCCAAGATGTCGAGAATTTGCTTTCCTGTTGAAATCTACGAAATCGTCCTTGGACTGTGTAGACTGTATATGTTCCCTCATGTCCGAGATCCAATCGTAAACATCTGGATCTCCATCCTTATCTGGTCGACCTCCAAACTTAGGAAATTTTCTTTCGGATTTCAAGTAAACGACAGGAGATATGAAGCCTTTAGCTTCTTACTTCTTGATTTGTTCCTGTAATTCTTTGATTTCCTGTTCAATTGTTGTGAATAGACTGTATATAGATCTGGTCATAGAATACTGCAACAGACACAATGCACACTGTCGTCAATCACAAGAATCCTGTCCACGACGCCATTTGTAACATTTTCTTACATCTGGATATAAAGCAGTCAAACTGTTAGCATGAATGTAATGGGCATTGAGTCCTCTACCAAAATTGTGAAATTCATGACCCCAGGCCTGGGTCAGGGGTTCTAGTGCTAGGGTGGGACTATACAGCTCAACAAACTTTTTAAACTCACATGGTTTTCCGCACAAAATAAGGTCACATAGTTTAAAAAATATTTTACAGTATAATACAAAGCCTCCAGTATAATCCAGATTTACAATAAGAGAGCTAAAGACAAAGATTCTTAAATCAACCAGGGTTTCGTTAAGTGAAACGACTGTAAGAAAAAGGTTAAACAAGTATGGAATAAAGAGCTACGTTCCTGCTAAAAAGCCATTACTTTCCAAAGAACAGAAACAAAGACGTTTGCAATGGGCAAGACATCACAAAAACATGACGAAGAAAGATTGGGAAAGTGTTGTGTTTTCAGACGAAAGTTTATTCAAGTCTTACAGTGACAGGAAAAATCGTCGAATTTGGAGAAGAAAAGCTGAAAAGTATGATTCAAAATGCCTACAGTTTACTGTGAAACATCCCACCCAAATTTCATGCTGGGGAGTTTTTGGAGCAAACGGAGTTGGGGTTTTGAAAAAATATGAGGGAGCACTAAATTCCAGCAGATATCAAGAAGAAATCATCAACAATTTAAAAACAACCTGTGAATGTTTAGTGTTTCCCAAAACATCGTACATATTTCAACAAGATCTTGCTCCATGCCACAATTCAAAGAGTACGAGAAATTTTCTTGAAAGTAAGAGAATACGCACTCTCCCCTGGCCAGGTAACAGTCCTGATCTCAATCCTATCGAAAACATTTGGGCTAAAATGAAAAGAGAACTCTCCAAGAAATTACCCTCTAAGAAGAAAGACATGTGGGAACAGATACAACAAATGTGGTACACAGTTACGAAAGAATTTTGCATGGACCTTGTTCATAGCATGCCTGACAGAATAAAAGCAGTGATAAAAGCAAAGGGTGGAGCTACCAAAAATTAATTGTATAATGAATTTGTCATCCATTTAGAGAATAAATAAATTGATTTTTTCCCTCTAAGTCCATTTAATTGTCTTTTTATAAAACGGAAGTTTTTACCAATGTGACCTTATTTTGTGCGGAAAACCATGTGAGTTTAAAAAGTTTGTTGAGCTGTATAGATTATATAGTGAAAATGCATAATTTCTTTGAAAATCTTCTTTTCTGTTCCTGGGTATTAAATAAACTAACTAACAGGCTTGGGGTCATTTACTTTGAAATGTAATTAATTACTTTCGAATACATTGGTAATTTTGTCAATTACTTGCAATTACAATTACATTGATTTTTTCAAATGTAATAAATTACTTTCAATTACTTTGACAAATGTAATGAAATACATTTCAATAACTTGAGTTTTATTTCAAATAAACAAATAATAAAGTTTTTTTTAAAATAATATATTTTCTATAGTGAACTTTTATTCTGTGTTTTTGTTCTTGGGTGTGAGAAGAGTTCACACCTGGACAAAATTAGACCGTTACCTAAAGCTTGGGCAGTGTGACACTATATAAGCAAATTAAACGTTATGAGACATTTAATTATTGTTCAAACACAAGCTCATGCTACACCAGTATGGTGTATGGCAAGATCTTTTTTATTACTTTCTCAAATCCATATTTTTGAATGAAATAAATTAATATTTCTCACAAATCTATTCATTATTTTCTATCTTAAAATGTATAGAATATAGGTAAATCTAAAAGGAGATGAAGTTAGTCTAATCACTGTTAAAACAAATTAACTATCTAAACAATCTATTGTAAACCGTTATTTGCAAGTCAGGATAGGTAGAATTGAGATTTTTTAAAAGTGGGAATAGGTATCAGTATATAAAGGTACCTTTTTTATAGACTTTCATTTTGAAAAAAAAGTAAATGAAATGTAATTGAAAAGTAATTGAAAATACATGACCTTTTTTGAAATGTATTTAAATACGTTCAATTCAATTGCTTGTAATTGAAAGCTCGCTCAAATACAAATTACTTCCAATTACTTTGAAAAATGTAATTAATTACGCTCAATTACAATTACTTTATTCAATTACCCCATCCCTGCTAACTAAGTACATAGTTATGATGAGCAAGAGTTCCTCTTCCAAAATTTTGAATTTATCACCCCAGGGTCAGGGGTTATGGTGTTAGGGCGGGGCTCTATTGATTATATAGTGAAAATGCATAATTTCTCTGAAAATCTTCTTCTCTGCTTCTGGGTATTAAATAAACTAACTAAGTACATAGTTATGATGAGCAAGAGCGCCTCTTCCCAAATTATGAATTTTATGGACCCAGGGTCAGGGGTTATGGTGTAATTAGGTCAGGGCTCTTTTGCTTATATATAGTAAAAATGCATTAAATCTTTGAAAATCTTCTCCTCTGCTCCTGGGTATTAAATAAACTAATTAAGTACATATTTATTATGAGCAAGAATGCCTCTTCTCAAATTGTGAATTTTATGGCTCAAGGGTCAGGGGTTCTGGTGTTAGGGTGTGACTCTATTGAAGACCAATAGAGTCCGCCAAGCAAAAACCACCCTTAAGTGCAAATAATCGGATTTCTGGTTTTTCGGCAATTCTAGTAGCAAATTTTCTCCAGTATGCAGATATAAGAAACATTTCTATGTGCGACATAGATAACCAAAGATAAAAACAGTAACAAAATAAACCAAAGTATACCAAAAAATTATCTCATTTTTTGTTCAATAAAAACGTCGCATTTATTTCTTGACGTCAGTGTAATTTTTCACAAAAGTATGGCATATTATTCACAGTGACACCTTTAATATATCCATTTTAAGATGATAATTATGAATTGATACTCATATTTACATCCAATTATAACAGTTAACTATTATTCATGCTCGAATTTAGCAAAATTTGATAAATTAAGAAGACGAATTAATGTTGCGCTTTGAATTTTTTTAACAGGAACGAACAAAGTAAAAATTTTCTCTAAGTACATTATGAGTTCCTACTTTCTACATCGGTAAATTACTAGGGGTTGTAGTTATCAGTTTTTGATGCTGTCCAGAACGTATGTCATTTATTTTAGATGTTATTAACATTTATATAAAAAACGTTTGAAGAATGAATTATTCTTCTTGGTCTTCGGGTGGTTGAGCAACAGCATCTTTCCATGGACACCGAACAAATGGTCTAATTAATTTATATAGATATTTCTGTCGGTCAGCTGACAACCCAGCGGCTGGAATGATCACAGGGGGCTGGATGGATCCTATGTCAACTCCAAGTTTCAACAATTTAACTTTAGTGACTGAAGATTCCGGTGCATCGCTAGCTTCAATAACACCTTCAAAAGATTGTGTAGATGTAATTAAAATATTTCAAAGTAAATTCTTATTTTGAAAAAAAAAGTGTGTGTTCACGGATTTAGAACATCCAGTAAATGCATTTTTAGACCTACCTTCGTTTTCTGCCTTGAAGACGAAATGCCGGTATTTTCTTATACCCTTGAAGGGAAGTAGTCTTGGGTAAACGTCTTCCAATCTAGCCAATGCCCCTCTGTTCCACCAAAAACAACGACTTCATTTGATTTTGAACTCTTCCGAACAACGTTTGCCAGCTGATCCAGGGAGTCCGCCTCATATCTCCTGTAAAGTTTCTTTATGTACGCGAACCCAGCGTCAACAAGGCTTTTTTCATGGTATGGAACTTGCATATAGAGATGAATTATCTCATGTTTACCACTAAGAACTCTCCAGAATAAATAGGCAATCACAAACCTGTTTTTGTTTCCTCCTATTAAGAAAAATAATGCCATGTTTAAAACTACATAAAAAGTAATGACCAATAACATGAATAAGTGTATGCAAAATTTACTACCGGTAAATAATTTTTCGTATCAGTTTTCTCACCTGAAGCGTTATCACAATGCAGATGACACTCTTTTTTCCCCACATCCAAAATTTTCCAAACAATGTGTTACATTGATAGAACCCCGAGTGCACCTTTGATCTTTGTGCCATTTTCCCTGGGTGTGGAATCTTCATCAACAAGGAAATTGTACTGCTTCCTTAAACCTATTCTTTTCAGGAAAGATAAATTACAAGTAACAAGCACCGAAGATTTACTTAATCATGGTTAATGGCGGTTATTGATTATTACCTTCCATGGCTACTCCGAAAAGCTGAACTTTTCTAGGGGTAGCAAAGTAAAGTGGCCCAACTTGGCAAACATGGTGAGGAATTGAAACTGCCTGTGAGTAGTCAAATGTATGATGTACTTTCTTCAAGACAGAAGACATCGGTGCTACGGGTACCAAAGGGACTGGTTGTTCAGCAATCTCTGCTCTCGTAACGCTTATGCACTGATTGTACAACTGTAGACAGAAGAATCAAGATGTATGTTTTCTGCATTCCTAACCAAAATGGACACGATAATCCATGTCACATAATTGATCTTATTAGGAGGAAAATTTGGTTGCCGTTTGTAAAACATTGGAGCCCCCCCCCCCCCCTTTGCGGAAGTGGTTTTCTTTTCAGTTGTTTCACTTAATAGATTTCTGCTCTGGCTTTTATTTTGCTTTTATAAATTATTAATGTTATATTTTTAATTTTTTTTAAATTTCTAAATTGCCCAATTACTGCTTAGAAGAAAAAAATGTTAATGAGCAGATAAATCCTTTAAGGAAGAATATTTTTTTAATCTGACATGCTGTATCATTTTTGGAACAAGGGGAGGGTGATTGACAAAAAACATAGACGTCGGAACGGGGGAGGGAGCTTTGGGGACCCAACTTTTTTTGCAAATATATACATAATATAGGCATTGAAAATTGGGGTTTACCTTTTTTGCTAGTTTAGCCCCCCCCCCCTTTCAATTTGCTTCCGACGCCCATGACTTAAGTGCAAATTCTTTTACAAGAAAAATTTATTTAACTTTAAATAATTCTATTTCGCGTGTTTGTGTGTGCGCGTAGGAGGGTTAGGTGGGGTCGGGAATTTCGATTCCATTGAACTTTTTCCCCATTATAAATATAATACAGACGTGGCATTGGTGCGATTGGGCTATGCTGCAACAAAAAACGGGACCACCTGCCTTGATATTATAATATAATTATATACTTATATATTTTAAAGATTTTGATCTGTATATACATCTATATATTTTACATGCACTAAATAAAAAAGTATTTTATTGGTTGTAATGAAATTTTCAGCACAGTGTGTACCTGTTGTTCAGCCTTCACTTTATTAAAATGTGAACCGTACTAGTCTAAAGCAGCAAGTTTTTCATCTTCTGTTGAAGCCGATTGGATGTTATCTTTATGTCGCTCACACACCGGACAAACATCAGTTTTTGGAGACATAAACTCGATATTTGGACAACAATTTTGCCACACCCCTTTAAATGTTGTCAGCCCAACTGCAGTCCTACCGTTATCTGTGCAGACATCCTTGTACTTTTTATGAAGGGATTGTTTGTTTTCACAGCAAGGAAGGATAATCTGTCCACCGATATTTCTATTGACTGCAGCTGGCTGAGGGAGACCATGTTCCTAGGCATAATTGATGATAAATTGAGCACAATCCCTCAGTACATCGATCAAAGCTGTACGCATTTGGTGGTCGACGATGTTTGTTTCCTTGGTTACGCGGAACT